CAGCTTTAACTACTGCTATGCCGCACCACAGTTGCAGCAATATACTCACGGAGAGCTATTTCAGAAGTGAAGAGCGCGCGTGCACTGCTTTGAAGGATGCTCGAGATGCTCCAGCGCACGTTCGCCCAGAGCTTTAACTGCATTTCTGAAGGAATGCTTAATGTTTCGCTTGTATCCTGTTTAACGTTGGATTTCTGAAGGAATATGTGCACCACTAAGGAGGAGTTAAGCTGTTGGTGGGTCACTGAAAATAAGAATAAATAAATAAATAAATAAATAGCCACAGGTTATTGTCCGCAAGTATTGTGCGCTGAGTGTGACGTAATGTAACTACAGTTAAGTCTGCCCGTGTAACAACGGTATAAAATGGGTAACAACAGGGTGGGTAGGGTGTCCTAGAAAGAGGGAGTGATGCGTGCCGTGATCAATTTCAAAACGTAAAATGAGAGAGGGAGTTTTAGTTTTGCTCAATGCGTTTCTCACTGACTGGCTAGATGGGCATTCCCTGCTCTTTCTGAAGCTGGATTTAGTATGCTGTTTAACAAATCGCCAGACCTCGTCTGCTGCGGGGAACAAAGTAGAAACATTTGAGCCATATTCATGCGCTTAAAGATATGGTTTAGCTATGGCATGCACCAGTTAAATATGATAGCTATACAGGGTATAACTAAGTTTAAACATTTTACTGATCGAATCTGGATGTCGTCTATATGCCCACTACAACTGTTATTCGGTTTTGTAAATACCGTAAATTCATCGAAATCGCGTGTGGGGTCAAAGCAAATTTTATTCATATTTATAAGTTTTACTATGCCCTACTATTTTACATGCCGTATATTTTTTCTTTATTTATTTGTTTCCTCGTGCTTCATACCGATCGAAGTCTGTTTAAGGCACTTAATTACAAAATATATCATGCTCAGAAATAGCTCTACGTCCATAAAAACATGCATACAAACACGCATACAATTTTATAGAAAAGATTTCCAAGCGGCATAGTAGATGCATGTACAAAAGCTACTGAAATTCACGCTTTAACTGTTCTTAATTAACAAAACTATCCACAGAGTTGGTGGACATGTCATTAGCCGAAGTTAAATGCGGGTAATTAGACATATGTTATCACAATAAAAAAATGGAGAGGAATGTCTCTAACATGGATAGGTGCGTGGGAAATCACGGAATATAACACGATGATCAAGTTGAGCGTTAATTATAATATATAAAAATAGTACGTTTAGCACTACTCTTCTCGTTGATAGTGTTTGTAGGTTTATATTTCTAAGAATATAGGCATAATCATAAAGGCACTTTCTATGAAAATACCCGTCATAAATTATACATACGAGCCTCTGGTTCCAAACAGTACTGGCGAACTCAATCCTTGAACTAATGAAGCTACAACTCAACGAATAATACAACAACAATTCCTAAACTACATTGTAAAATAATAAATCATGCGCAACAATTTAAAAGCAGACCTAAACACTTGCGATACATGGAAAAAAAATGAAGATCGCTTGCAAAATCAACAACCAAGGTCACGAACTGTGAAGATGCGTAAGACCACGCTTGTATCAATAACGTAGTCGTTAAAAATTGGTTGCCGTGCTAAATATATTGATAACACCTTGGTTTTATTAGGATTGATTATTAAATGATTGAACGAACATCACGCATGCACACGTGGCACATCGTCCTCTAAGCATGCTCAGTGAGCGAGTGACTGGACGCCTAAAGGCAGCTTGAAATTATCAACGAATAACTAATAACTTGGAACTTTGAAGACATATTTTAATGTCTTTAATCAAATAATAAACACTAGTTACCTAAATTAGAACACTGGGGTCACTGGGCGAGGAAACAAAGGGTCGTGAGGAGCAGTTCAAGATTAACACACACTGTTAGAAACTAGTCTAATCATGTCAACCGCACAAGAAACCCCGCATTTGTTTAGAGGTACTAGACAGACGTTTTCCAAGAAAACGGAAGGCACCCAGTCGCAGAGAAAGAGTAACAATGTGTTTCCGAACCGGCAAAATAATTCGGCACTGCCCTTGACGATGAAACTTGGTACGCAATCAAAGTCCGCCGATAATACCGGTTTTAGTTGCTTTTTTTTTCGCCTCCGAAGTTTGATTGTATCTATAGGGTAAGCTAAATAGAAAGTATTGTACATCAAAGCTATCGTACGAGGAAGTGACTTGAAAAATATATCTGCAATAACATTCACGAAAGTGATCTGAGAAAGCATCTGCAACTTCTAAAGGCTATGTCCTCAGTTTCTTCGGCCTTTCGTAAGCTGTTTAACTAATCGATAGAGCTCGTCTGGTGTCCGGAAAAGGCTCTTTTTTACTTGTAGTTAATGAGCACGCTTGTCACGAGCTTACAGCTGTTTCACGAGCTTTCTATAAATTTTGAACTTTATGTTACGTAAATTTGCGGCTGTAGCTTTAAAAGGTTTTTAGAACTGCGCCATTCTGTGCAGAAAAAAAAAGAACGTAATTGCTTCGTAGACCACCTCGGGTACCTCTTACTTAATATTACGCTGATGTTTAAAATATCAATATCTTTTCTGACAACCAAATAAACATTTTCAGTAGCAGTGTAAGCACAGTTGCCATTTAGAACCGTCGACCAATCGAAAGATTGAAAATATTTATAGAAGCCTCGGTAGTCAACCGTTATTCAGAAAACAACCGGGCGAATCTCTCCCGAGCACACATCCTTTTTAGGAAAGGGAAAGATAATGCAAAGACAAGTAAAAATCATCAACACGAACAACCGTATCTCTAACTACAGTTAGATCATCAATAACACAGTTTTGAGAAAAAATATCAAGTACGTTCGCGGCTCGGTTTTCTAGCGTGTCTACGTCAACAAGACCTCTAAGATTAGAAAAAAGCAGGTAAAAAATGTACTGTGTTACTTGCTTCTGATCATCCACAATTTGTCCAAAGGATCAGTCTACACCAGGCTGGTTAGATTCGACCTAAACCTGGACACTAAACTTCAAGAAATCAATCTCCTCCTCCACGCTTTTATTATAACGATTAAACTTTATTTCATTTGAAAGAGGTGAAAACTTGTATTTTCAAATTGAATGGCTTAAACCAATACTTTATAAAAGCTCAATCCAAACACATTCCGAGTACGTTTGTAGTCAAACGTGAAAACAGCGCAAAAAATTGAACAAAGGAAGGGTGAAAGAAGTGCACGGAGAAAGCGCCGTTTTGTCCGTGCAGTACGTTTGTAGGTCGTGTCTCCCACAGCTGGACACAGGGTCGTCAACCGCAATTCCATCTTTCCGATAAATAGTGTAAGAAAGAGTAAAATATTTTTTGCTCAAGATTCCATTTAAAAGATACGTTTTTGTTAAGCAAATCCTTTTAAGCACACCAGAATTAAAAACGTTACACAGGAATTCGTCAGTCTGAGTTCGCAGACCGCGCGTGCTTGGACAGTAAGATCTTAATACTCTGTTCATTTTGAGAATGTTCAGCCGCAATGCTCGAAAGTTATTCAATTTTCAGAAAAACTCATGGAAGATGCGACCCTCGGGCCCGACATTAAGTTTGTGCATCACTTCATCCAAGTCGCTATCGACGCACACGTGTGAAAATGAGTAGAAAGGAAATGCTGTCTTCAACTTAGTGCACCATAATGGCTCACCTTGAAGTAGGTGCTTAATTAAAGAAATTAAGAAACATCGCCAGTAATTTTGCTGAGGTCCAGGATTGATTCAAAAAGTGCTTTTCGCAACGGCTCGCGAGAAAGAATTGTTTCCGTTGATTCCTTTATTTTATTAAGTCATCAAAGTTTATTAAAGACCATAAATACCCCGGAATCACTTACAGGATGCAAATAGATGTTATTCAATTTTTTTTGTATAATGCACCAACATACGAGCCACTTTTACAAGATAGTATTACTAAATTTACAAAATGTTTCTTAAATGTTTCTAGCCTTATTTCGAATTTTTTTGCAGTTAATATTTGCCTTTTCTTATTAGTCTTGATATTAATTGTCCTTCAAAGCCAAATATAGTTTTCTTCATATAACACCGTAGCGTCCAAGTGACCACTGAAATTGTTTTGATAAAACCGCTCCCGAGCATTTGGAAACTTTTCGTATGCTCGTTTGGATATGTTTCAAAGCTTTGTTTATTTTCATATCTTCTTGTTTTCTTAAAATTTTGAATTAGTATATTCTATCTTAATTTTAGGGGATGTTAAAATGGCATTCATGGCTTCCAATTTTTTTCTGAATATTTGAAATGTCTTAAAAAATGTATATTATTTTGAGGTTTTCGCATAAGCTTATCGTAGATACATCATAATCTGTTCATCTAAGAAAATATGATCAGATTGAGTTTTCTGTGTTACAACAAAATGCCCATATATACTTATGCATGATGTTTTGAAACTGTCTAGAAGTCTGGGAACTTTGATATACAAAACCATCCGCGTAAAAAGACTGGAAGGTGGTCAAAATATTAGAGTTTACAAATCCTCCTTTAAGACGAGTACTATCAATGTTTGTAGCGAAAAGTTCTGAAGACTTTGAAAGCGCACAGAGAGTGATCAAAATATATATTTTTAGTTTTCTTTCTATATTAAAAAATGTGATTGGATAAAACCCATGGAGAAGTTGCCTGAGAATGCCTTGCCGAACTTACTACAATTCCAGATTTTCTTCTGGTTTGACCAAGCATTGATGAATGTCGGCTAACCTCATGTAGATGCCGACAGGAAGCGCCTTGCTTTATTACTTTCAAAGAATTACCAGTTTTCCGACTTTCGTCTCATGACAACTGTCAGGGCGTGCCGTTTCACTGACACTGAAATTTCGTGATACGAAGTATGATATCACTGAACCAAATATGCCACCAACCAACCAACCATACAATGATATTGAGGCATATATTATGACGCTTCATAAACGTATTTTCTGATTGATAACCCATAGATATATTTATTTATTATTTATATGCTTTCCAGAGATACCGAGCAATGCTGGATGGACACACCAACCCCGATTATAGAGAGAACGAAAGAGTTACCGGTAGACTATTTTGGTCTAGAGGACTTCTGCAAGGCGAATCGTCCTATCTTTCCTTACGATACATATTGCCCAGTGAGTATACATTTTCACCAATTTTGTGACGCTTGATAGGTCTGTCGCACGTAAGCTAAAATGCGATAAAAATGATAGAGCGGATCGCTTGAATCGTTAAGCTGATATAACGAATCACTTGAATCTTTTATTAAAGATCACTTTAAACCGTGGCCAGCAATTTTTTTTTAATTTCTACCACATAATCTTGAGCTTAAAATCCAGGATATTTGCTTACCTTTTCTGTCTTGACAGGTTACTTTTTAGGTGATTTGCAGGTAGCCTGAGGATGGTATGAAGAGCATTTTAGTATTACGAAGCAATACACTCGTCCTCATTATGATCTGGTTTATTTCCCACTAATCATAATCATGATGAAAATGTGGATGATAACAAAGACGTATGACATCCCGAGCCACACACGCGTATTTTCATTAATTACTTTGTCAACCGGCCTTCATTTCAAATTCAAAATGTAAACGTGTTAGCCACCAATATGTAACAAAAAATCGTCTCTATTACCACATACTTTTAATTTTACAGGTAGAGGTCATTCGTTACTAGCAACCAGACTCAAGTATCATTAAAATAGAATATAAGTTAGAATTGGAAAAATTTTAAATCTTTTAAAATCTAACTTGTTAAATCTCACTGTCTTATGTTATTATAATGTATTTGGAAGGGTTTAAGGTCCTTGCAAATAAATTGTTTGGAAGGGTCTTGAATCTCCTTTCTCGTGCTACGCACAAAGTGAAAGTCTGCCGCAAATGTAGATACCGAGAAACTAATTCGCCCCAAAAAATTCAGCCGACTTTTTTATGTTTTGCTCAATCTCTCAAAAGCCCCGCCCTGCTTAGGCAAACAAGTGCCGACAGCCAATGTGCATGAAAAAGCACAAGTTTTGGGAAGAAGTAGCATGCTCAAGTTTGTTTTTCTGTTCTCGACCGCTATGTGCCCTCTGAAACGTGAACCGTCGCGCAGGTGGCTCTTCAATGAATATCGATGGGACTCTAGAAAGCACACAGACTGCCGCAGTTGGCTTTTCTTGAGTTTATACAAAAATGTGTATTCGGTTATTTCAGTGATGCGTGTAACACTCAACCAAATTAACATTGCATTGCAAGAAAAAAAAATTACAATGACCTTATTTTAGCTATATGGCAAAATAATGAAACACTCCTACTTACGAGGGTATTGATCGCGCGACATATTGGGCAAATAATAAGCACGGGAAAGCAAACACACAAATCATACGAACTCATAAGTTTGTTTATGTATTGCATTCTGGTACAACTGAAAAAATACTTAACTGGTGCCTTTTATTTAAAATGAAGAACTTTATCCTCAACATTACGAACGTCCCGTGGATTCGATAAGTATTTAATAGAAAGAAATTTCCTTGTGCTCCTAAAAATGCGTTATTTTAATGCATGCGCTCGACCAAAAATCGGCCAACGCTTTCTATGCAGCTACCCAGCACAATCTCGTGGAGCATTAATTATAACTCTAAACAAATATATTTAGAAAATATTGCACTGCTAAATTACTCAACATCATAAATATTGCTACGATTCTAAATTAACTAAGTTTAGAAAAAAATACATATACTGCGTTTTCTCACTTCCCTCTGATTTCGGTAGCAAGTTTAATAAAGTGTCTTACATCACGCAGAATCTAAATCACAATTGCACGAATGCTCAGGGAGAAGGAGTAGCGTGCAATAAAATGCGGAGCCTGGTGAACTGGTGAAGAACGTTGAAAGACAGTGAGGTTCAGCTCCTGCAACGAGAATTGTCTGTGGAATTCGCCGAGACTGTATTCATCAAAGTTATAGACTAAAAAGTTCATTGTTTTAGCTAGAATCTCTTGTTTTGGGGGTTTCTTTTCTTCCGAATTGGGACTGCTGTTTCAGGGTTAAGGGCTTTGCCCCCCTCCCTCCGCCGGCCGTGGTGATCCAGAGGACGACCTCACTTGTTCCAGGAGAAACAACGTATCAATAATCCCTCAGTACTTCAACCCATGTAAATTCTTATCCCATCAAACCCTTCAACCATCCAAACCCCTTCAGCATTAGAAATTCCTTCAGCCCATCAGCCCTTTAGACCTCTATTTTCTCTGACCCCCTCAGACCTTCAACCCCTGACAGGCCCAAATGTCTGTGAACCATGAACGAAAGATACAGTTTTAAACGTTATTGCATGATTAATTTAGATATTGAGTTTTACATGCATGTTGTAATTCAAAAAGGCCATAAGAACCAACATGTACTCAAACCCGGGCGCAAGCAGCAGTTTTCAAATCTGACAGACCAAATAGTGACAAGCGTGTTTTTTGACGATAAAATCTATATTTCGTTGTACTCACAATGCTGCTGTGTAAATTTATGAGGTGTGCTGTAGCGTAACTGATAAAACTCACCTTGTGCATCACACGCAGACAGGCACCCTCTCAGTAGCACGTTTAGCAAAAACCACAAACGCAAAACCAACGTTTGCGGCGTTGAGAAGTCGTTAGCACGGTCAAGGTGTCGTCTCCGGTGCCATCGCGATTTCAAGTCAGGAGGCTTTTCCACACGCTGGATGAACTTCTAAAGCCGAGCGGACAAAGATGCCCAACAAACAGTGCACTGAGACAAATCCTTGATCCACAAACTGGCCTTCTCCAAAATAAAGGTCCAATGCATGTTGCGGGTAGTCGACACCGAGTGTCCGTTCTTTGCGATTGCCCAACAATGGGGAAGCGTCTTCCCCGACGCATCTATCCTGAAGGGTCAAGTGGTTTCTCCCACAGAGCCTTTAAAACGTTTTTTGATTGGTTCCGTTCTCTAACAAGAAGATTGGTAGATATCCCACAGGCATCTAAGGAACTATTACGAGTCTCTTACACCCTTTAGGAATTCTTATGTGGTACGCCATGGCGCTTAGAAAACTTAAAAAAAACATACCTGATTTCTCAAATTTCATACTTTACGTCAAAAAATATTAAAAATTGGTAAGCCCCATATACCCTTTTATAGACTTATTACCGTCTCACGGTTGGGCGCCAGTTGACGAAGTGTCCGGGCAGCCTATGCCCACTTCTTCTATAGCTGTTTTTGTGTCGACGTCCCGCAACCCTATGGCAAGCCCTGCCGCAGAATGCGGCACCTGACGCGTGGTGACCCGCTGGGCGCCCACAAAGTTTATTTTCTTACGCATATGTTGCTGTCTTAGAGTTTAAATTTTCGGTTTGAGAATATAAATGGTAGTTTTTCAGGTCTTACGCTGAAGAAGCACGTATGTAGGATTTCCCTCCCTCCACTGAACATGCGCGTGATCTGAAGACTGGGAAATCGTCCCGATGCCGATGCTAGAGGGAAACAAATTCAATAATCTGGTCCCCAAAAAAATCTGCATCCTTGCGGGCTCTGTTTTGAGTCCACGCAAAATAAAGCTGTAACGAAATAAATCTATGCGTGAAACCTACGTTTTTCTCTCGATTTTGAGCGTAAGCTTAAGCTTAAACTCTATATTGAGTTTTTTGTTTTGTTTTTTTAGCGGTTTTGATTAAACAGGCTTGGTGGTTACTTTCTTGATCGACCGCTTTTCAGCGATCACACCGGACCCTATTTGTAACTCGACCCAACTATATTATTAATTGCAGGCTTTGACTGGCCTTACCTTGCATTGGGCATTTTAGAGGTCACTAATTTTTGAAACTATCTTTTTTTTTTTTTTTTTTTTTTAAGGCTAATCATACGAAGTGGCAATCTGCTCCGGTCTGCAAGCTTCCATGTTGCAAGAACGATACAACTTACAGAGGACCCTACCGTTCATCACCCGATGGCACGAATTGCACAGGTGGAGATGGCGAAAAGGTGAGGTAAAGCAGTTGAGACGCCCGTTCGATGCTTCAGATTATCCCCTATATTTTTAAATATTTTTCACGTTTTTTTTATATTCGCTTATAAACCTGTGAGGCCAAAATATTTTAGTGCGTGAAACTGTTTTGGTACTTTCCTGAGACCGTGGTTCGTTGTGACGAACCACGGTCTCAGTGACGTTCTACTGGTCCCCAGCGCTGGCAAATTTCTATATATTGTCATTGGTTTTGATTTCTCTATACTCCGTTTCACCCTACGTTGTACCGCAGCGAAGGCTAGAAGCGCGAGCTCATAGCGGCGGCACCTGCCCTTGGTGCACGAGAGCGTGTGTCGCCGAGGTGTGCCCTAGAGCAAGGAGCTCGCGCTTGTAGCCTTTCCTGCAGTACGACACAAGGTGAAACAGAGTATAGTTAGCGACATACGCGGCTAGTGAGAGCCGGTTGACAACAATAATATCGTCCCGTATTCGGCGCTTGCGTGACACCCCCCCCCCCCCCCCCCCCCCCTAACTTTAGCTCACACGAGGCAGGTAGCACGTAGAGTGTAGTGATGGAAGTGCACAAGTCGGCTCCTGCCGTCTCGTGCTTCTAACGCGCAAATATTACCGAGGTTCTCGGCGCAGAAAGCACGGTGGCAGAAAGACTGAAGTTCACTCCATGCATTGAGGTAACCGTTGAATTGCCAAACTGGCCATTGAGACTGATGTACGACGAGCATGCAATAGACGCCATAATTGATTGCACATTTCACAACGTATTTTCAGAAAGAGTTTGCAATTATAGGCTGAGAAGACCGGAAATCGTAATGGTGCGGAATGCACGATGAAAAACAACAACCGAAAAAAACTATCGAATCTTGGCGTCAGAATGTACTTAGCAGTCGTGCACACAGCTATGTTCGACAGTGAACACTCCCAATGCATAGCTTGCAAGTGTCACCGTTGGTGGCTACGGGCGGTTATTTTATACCTACAGCTTTTTCGAACTACCACTTATGCAGTGTGAAAAAAAACGCGGTGAACCGAATGCTCGGGGCACGTAAAATAGCGGCATGGCCGCAAAAAAACTTCACGCGCAAGCTATGTAGCAGAATGTACAGCCACTTTATGTAGCAGTTTTAGCTCCCAGTGTAGCCCTATGTTTTTCCCCGTGCTGCCTCTCTGCTGGATTCATTTCGCGCGTTACCATAGCAACGGGCTGGCCAGGCTCGATTTTCATGATACCCGAAAGGGGCGAATACGGACGTCGTTGGGAAATGTAGCGTTCGGATATCTCGAAGCGCCACCGGCGTACATATTGTTTGTTTCTCTTGCTTCTCGAATAGCGCGAAGCACGACAAACGGTGGATGAGGCGCTCATAACTTTAAATATGATCATGCCGCTATGCCAACCCCGCTTTTTTCCGTATCGTTAACTCACTTTTTACGACATTTAACACGTTTAATTGACACAGCTATGTTCGACAGTGAACACTCCCAATGCATAGCTTGCAAGAAGTCACCGTTGGTGGCTACGGGCGGTTATTTTATACCTACAGGTTTTTTTGAACTACCACTTATGCAGTGTGAAAAAATCGCGGTGAACCGAATGCTCGGGGCACGTAAAATAGTGGCATGGCCGCAAAAAACGTCACGTGCAAGCTATGTAGCAGAATGTACAGCCACTTTATGTAGCAGTTTTATCTCCCAGTGTAGCCCTATGTTTTTCCCCGTGCTGCCTCTCTGCTGGATTCATTTCGCGCGTTACCATAGCAACGGGCTGGCCAGGCTCGATTTCCATGACAACCGAAAGGGGCGAATACGGCCGTCGTTGGGAAATGTAGCGTTCGGATATCTCGAAGCGCCGCCGGCGTACATATTGTTTGTTTCTCTTGCTTCTCGAATAGCGCGAAGCACGACAAACGGTGGATGAGGCGCTCATAACTTTAAATATGATCATGCAGCTATGCCAACCCCGTTTTTTCCGTGTCGTTAACTCACTTTTTACGACATTTACCACGCTTAATGAACAAATAAAGAGATGATATGAGCCATACTAATAAAGAGGTTGCAAGAAGCCGCCAGAAGCTCGGATACCATGGTAACCTCCAGGCCAGACATGAAGATTGCAATTGACAATTTTGACGCTGTCCATCTGGGTCGTTTTGCGTCCTGTTTCTACCCTGGTAGCAAAGGCTGCCTTATACCGTGGATAAGGTGTATTCCTGTAAAGAATATACCGATCCTACAAGCCCTTTTGTATACGACGAAGCTGCCCCATCGCATCCAAGGTAACTTTAGTATTTCTTCACAAGTGGCACTTTACTACCGCCTGCCTACCACAAACTAAAGTTATGGCGGCACGCATGCACCGAACATTTGGTGAGACCGGTCTATTGATCTGTTTCGTTTCCTGTCATTCTCAGTCACATGTGTTCCCTATCTGGTATGTGGGACGAAAAATAATGAAACATTTCAACCAGTAATAGGCGAGAAAATATAGTGGAGATAAAACAAGAATGTGTGATAATCACGCATTTTTTGTGAACACCTTCCACCGGCGTAGAAATATCAAAACGGTGCTTGAACTCACAACAAAAGTGACGGAATTTAAAATGGCTGCGCCCTTGTAAAAGTGGCGTCTATGACTTTCAAAAACGTACTCATGAGCTAAAGAGCGTGCCCTAGTGTAGAGACCAACGTGCTGTTTACAAAGAAGCACACACGAAGCGTGTATGTGCTGCACGTAAATGTGCGCGCGGGTATGGTTGCTGCAGAGCAACCGAACCTGCGCGCCCATTAACGCTTCACCACGACCCATGATGCAAGGCCGGCCCCTTTTTTCCCTTTCTCCAGAAATCAATTTCGTTATTCTTCGCCAGCTCGCTTGCACCTTTGCATTATTTGGATTATCAGTATAACCTTAAAATACAAAATCATTATCCGTTGTTGGTGTTAGATTCGTGACAGCTGTTCAAACCCGTTTACTTTACTGACGTCGAACTCCTGGTTAGCTCAATTAGTAAAGCGCTGTACGAGAAATGGAGAGGTCACTGGTTCCAAGACCAGACAATTTTTTTCAGTCGCGCACCGGCCACATAGCTGTGTTCGAAGATTTCTGTTTGTCGTTTGTCCCCGCGGTATTCCTTCTCCAGGGATTATTTTTGTATTCTTCTCCAGCTCGCTTTCACCATTGTATGAATTGGATTATCATCATAGCTTTAAAATGCAGGCCGTGAACCCTTGTTGGTGTTACCGCTTATTCTCACTGGAAGCGGATCCTCGTTCGCAAAGCGGTTGCGAACACGGTTGTATAAAGATCCAGTACAATTGCACGCGCACTTGATGTCATCGAGTGCGCGTGCAATTGTACTGTATCTTTATACAACCGCGTTCGCAGCCGCTTTGCGAAAGCGAATCCGCTTCCAGTGTGAACGAGCGGTTAGACCGGTGGCAGCTGTTAAAACCCGTTTCCTCTGCTGGCGTCTTACTCCTGGGCAGCTCATTTGGTATTAAGCACCACTGGAATTGGAGAGGTTGCTGGCTCGATACCAAGACCAGGGCGATTTTTAATCTCAAAACTTTTACTGTACCATGGAGCAAACAATCGTTATCATCTCTTAAAGCCAGGTCAAACAGCACCTGAATTCCCCTGCCTCAAGGAGCGAAGCCTGTAGTACGTAGCACCGAATTGGTGCATAACCTTCCTTTGGCTGGCGCGCGGCATAGTTCCAAGGAACGCCACCCCACAGTGAAGTCTTCTAAGTTGCGCAGCGGCCCGGCCACCGGTAAGAGGGAGGAGGAGGCCGGGCTCTGCAGAGCGGCCTTGGCGGCCGGCGTCAGAGCCCGCCAGGGCAGCCTCCGCAGAGGGCGCTTGGCCGGGCTAAGCGCGGCGCGCAGCTTGTAGGAATAGGCTACGTATACGAATGCTTTCGCATTATCACACGGAGGCAGTGTTTTTTTGTTTTTTTTTAAGTTGCGCACCATTCACATAGCTCTGTTTGGAGGTTTGTGTTCTTCCTTTAGCCCCCTTGTTCTTCGTCATCAGGGTTTATTTTCGTTATGCCCGTTTTTAAGACTTCTGGGACGGCTTACCACCAACTGCGGACCAATGCAGTCGTTCGTTAGCGAAACAGTGAAATGAGTGGATCTGCATGCGATAGCACCTTGCTTCTAAACGTTTCAGCCCGTAAATTTTGTATGTCCTTTATGAACTTGAAGAATTTTGCACTGGTAAAAACACATCACGCCTGTCTGATATGAAGAAAAAAAAGAATAAAAGCCGTTTACAGCTCCTTGTAACGCCGGATTAAAGTGCAGCTCTTGAAAAGAAGGTTGGAAGGGTACTGAAAGATAGAATGGAAGGGTACTGAGGGATAGGTGACTCCCTGAGGTCACGTGAACTCAGGGGGGGACACGTGACATCAGGGGCGATCATGTGACCTCAGGGGGTCAGCTGACATCAGGTGGTCACGTGACCTCAGGGGTAACCTTCATGACCCTTGTGAGGGTAACTCTCGTGAGCCCCGAGAAGGTAACCCTCGTGACCCTCGTGAGGGTAACCCACGTGACGGTAACTCCAGTAATCCTTGTGGGGGTAATGCTCGTGACCCCCGTGAGGGTAACCCTTGTGAGGGTAACCCTAGTAACCCTTGTGAGGGCAACCTTCGTGAGGGTAGCTCTTATAACCCTCGTGACTCTCGTAGGAGTAACCTTCGTGAAGGTAACCCCTTTTGTGGGTAACTAACCCTCGTAACTCGTGAGGTTTACGTGGGTGACTAGCGTTACTCTCACGAGGGTTACGGGGGTAACCCTCGTGATGCTCGTGAGGGTAACCCTCGTAAGAGTAACCCTCGTAACCCTCGTGAGAGTAACCCTCGTAACCCTCGTGAGAGTAACCCTGGTAACCCTCTTAATCCTCGTGTGAGTGACCCTCGTAACCCTCGTGAGGTTTATGACGGTTACGAGGGTTAATCTCACGAGGGTTACGAAGGTTACCAGAGTTACTCTCATGAGGGTTACGAGGGTAACCCTGGCACACACACAGACGCGTACAATCACAACATAGAAAACTACACATGAGCGCTAGAGATTATTTCTAGTATGAATTATTTACTTTCATATTTTAGTGCAAGCATGTGCGGGTTGCTACAGACTTCAGAAATAAAACATCGAAACTGACGAGAAACCGGGTGAAGCAAGACACAGGCGCAGTGCTGACACAAGAATTGTTTATTGATATAAACAAAACAATATATGATTGCGGAGTCAAGAACAAAAAAAAATTAAAGATCAGACTAAAAAAACAACTTTAAGAAACGCCCACAAACAGCCTTACACACCGCCCTCGCACAAACGAAGACAGTCGTAAAGAAAGGCAATCAATCCATTTGCTTGACAAGACAATCGAAGGACTGCTGACACAGGCAGCGCCTATCCTTGGTATTTCTAAGGCCTCAAAAATTTAATAGGTCAGCCGGTCCCGGCGACATGTTTTCAGCTCACACGTGAAATTCTTCAGGTCTAAGATATAGCAAGATTAGGCGCAGTTTGCGCCAGCAGTCATTCGATTGCCTCGTCAGGCCAAGAGTATTATATTCTTGATTACTTACTTGCTTGTCTTGTGGGAACTTTATGTAAGAGAAAATGTATTGGATATTAAGCTCTCTATTCTTAGGGTGATTTTTACCTTCAAGAGTGTGCTTGACAGCTCAAGCATAAATTGCGGACTAACGATCAATAAAATTAGTTTTGACTCAGCGCCAGTGTCTCTCTTTTTCTTCATCCTATCTCTCGTCTTTCGCTGTGTTTTAATTCGTGCGTATTTGACGCCGCTAAAACTAGAAAATAGAAGTCCTTCGAACCAAACCTAAATACAAATATTAAAGACGAATCACTAAACTCATGCTGCCAACCAACCGTAATATTGTAGAAAATATATGTCACAAAGAGAAACGAAAGTGGGACTAATATTTGAGCTGTGTTGGTTGGAACAATTTTATTACATATTATATAAATAGCAATATGACAGAGTTAACTAATCCACTATATGTACACGTTACCAGAACAAAAAGTAATTTAATACCATTACCCGTTACGCGGTCATAAAGTAACAAAATACGTTACTCGTTTCTGATCCTCAAGAAGAACAAGTTACTTCACCTCAAATGTAACGAGCTACCTTTCTCGTTACTTTGGCGATCGAATACACAACTGCGTTTGTTTTATAATTTATTGTCTTCTTTAATGTTGTCGTTGCACTCAAGCAGCAGCTGCCTCTCCAAGTTTTCATCAGTTATGTTTCCCCGATTGCTTGAGAATACATCCCCGGCGACGCTAAACAGTCGCTCCACTGAACCGCTCCAAGGACCTGCGCTGCTGTGCTTTTGGAAGAGCTAGTAAATAAGGAAATGCCCCCTTTTTTGTTTTCTTTGACTCTAAAGTTTGAAATTGACAGTGGGTTCCGTGACGTCCAGTAATGGTAACCTCCGGGTTTACATTCGGTCTGTACACAATTCTAGAAATTTCAACGAACGAGGCTTATTGTGTTCGCTGGGTGAAGGACATTTCCATTTGTAGAGATCAACTGACATGTTCACCGATAATATGTGTCTACTGCCATACCGTTTAGCTGCCTCTCAGGTTGACCATCTGTCTACCGACACAAGAGAAGCATGCTCAGGTTAGAATTAAAACGAGGCTGTTTAAAAGGGTTGAAAACGTGACTTCTCAAGAGTAACGAAATAACCGTTAATGGGTAGTTCACCTTGAAAGTAATTAAATACGTTACTCGTTTTTTTTTTCTAAACAAGGTAACTCAATTCTTTACTCGTTAGAGAAAAACGTAAGTAGCCTGAGGTGACTCGTTTCTAGTAACGCCTTACGCGCATGTCTGATTATGCCTCATTCTAAGGCCTTTGTGATAGAAATTGACTACTTATTTTTATATTTTTTCAGGTGTGCCTATCTGCAATATGCGTCACGCTATAAATCGACCTGTTTCAAGTTAAAAAGATAATGGAACTCATCACGAATAATAAAGGTGTCAATGTGGTTGTTCTGTTTCCAACTGATTTGTTTGTTTTTTTTTCTTTTCCCATATGACTAAATTTGTTCTTCAGATGCTAAAGGATGACTTTAATTTCAACTCTCAAGTAATTGGGTAAAAAAGATTAAAATCGTTTGAATATACCTAAAATTAAGATACGTACTTGAGCTAAAGCTGCGTGATTGAGAAATGTTCATGACAAGAAAGGAAATATTAAATAATAAATAAGACATACGCCTTGCCCATCTGGAAGACATACGTTTAAACCTTAGTTTTCGCCATTTCGCATCCGCCGCCATTATCATCCTCTCATAACAGGAGGCGGCATTTCCACAATTGGCTTTATCGCAAGTCATAGCGCCGTTGGAGACTCAAAGACACGCAAACACATTCATACTGAGAAAAATTGCACTGCCACGATGCACTTCCTGTACTATTTCGAATCACAGCATCCAACGTGTCAAAACATCCATCGAGTCAAAACATTCATTCGTGGATGTTCTCTCTCGATGGATTAATTGATGCGTTGGACGTTGTGACTCGTATGAATATTCTGATTCTATGGACGTTTTGACTTTATGCACGTTTATAAAGGGATGTATGTTTTGACACGATAGATGTTGCGACACGATGAGTGTTTTGACTCAGATTGGTGTTTTGACACGACGGGTGTTTTGACTGCTATAATGTCACGTACTGAAAGTTTTGATTCGTTGAATATTTTATATTTTTGTGCAGAAAACTGTCCGTTGTGTTTAACGATTTCCTAAAGCATGGTAAGCAAGGACTCACTACATGAGTTCCCTGACGAACCTGGAACGATTTTGAAGAAAGAAACGTTAATTTTATTATGAACGTTTCCAATGTATGAAACATTATGAGTTATATTGTTTCTGATTGTTTCTGTGTCGAGTACACCGGTTAATGACCCTTCGTACTCTGTCACTATTGTATCTGATCGGAGCATATACAAACTGCTTACTGCATGTGGTCTTGGTGCTGCGGTTAATGTTGAATTTGGGATGGACACACATCCGAATTGGGAATGACTTCGTACGGGGTGAGCGCGGCAGACGCGCGGAGACAATTTACTAATATGCTGCTGTGAGACTTTATTTTCAACTTCATGCTTGCATATGATAAGTTTTAGACGAAATACTCGATAGAAGTATTTAAGTTAAGTTATTGAATACCTGCTTTATAAAGCATTATATATACTACTCAAGACACTTTAGGTGTAAAGTATCTTGAGTGGAGAACAAGCACCTAGTTATGTAATTCAATTACTTTTAAAGATACTTCCCCATTGCGTAATTTGTGTCAACGTCTGTGACTAACATAATTATACAGTTGCGCAAATCTGGTTTAGCAGAATGGTTTATTAGCACGCAGCAGCACAAAACGAAAAAAAAACACAAAAAAAACATGGTAGTTCTATTTTATGCAGTCCAACTATAAGAAGCAGGATATCAATGATAAACATTACAAAAAATTCTGGGAAGGTCAAGTTTGGGGGTTTTACGTGCCAAACCAACGACGGGCATCTGGCACGCCCCAACGGAGGACTGAGGAAAAATTTAGACCACCTGGGGATCTTTTGACGTGCAATCGAAAGCTCGGTTACACGGCGTCTTCTCCGTAATAAGCCTCAGTCAGATTGCGGGCCCCTCGGCCGGGATTCGAACCCGCCACATGGGAATCCGTAGGCCGACGCTCTCGACTCGGAGCCACCGAAGTGTCATTAAAATTTCTGGGAAAAAAGGAAGTCGCTTCAGCTATAGTAACATCATTCAATATCACAACGTCCTGCGGCGCATCGTTTAACTACAATCTACATTCCCTATGCGAGGAGTTTACTATAAACGAACTTGGGATAGGTACATGAGTGAATGGATAACAGAGAGAGCCTGCATTATACTCACTACACTGGTCGCACTTTCTTCAATTAGGTGGCGTTCAGAAAGGCACTCAACTTTGGTGGACGCATTGTTAACATCTTGAGAGGTCATCCTGCTCGTAATTCGTTTCCTGTCCTGTTGTCTGCTTATCAATGTTCGCTCAATGACAGAGTTTGCAAGAGCAATAGGCGCCGGACTACGACAAAAGTAAAAAAACCGAAGATATCCTCGACGTTGTTTCGCAGCAATGTCAAATATACAAGAAGCAAAAAAAACGGTATTTTTTTCATGCTTACGTTTTATTTTCTTATATTTGTTCTCCTGTTGACACCGAACCCGGGTGGCACGTCAGAGGAGAGCCCAACTTGGGCAAAGGTCTGGCAAGCATAAGGGCCCAACTTTGGCGCAGTTAGGTTTTTGCACCATGGCACTCATCAGTGCCAAAGTACGGTGCCTAACCATAGTCTTAGTTGGGCGATCCTAGGGCATGCCAAAGTTTGGCTCTTTTCTGGAACGCCAGAGGAGTGCCAAAGTTGGTGCCATACTTGAGCCATAACTGCCATAGTTAGTCCTAATCGGGTAATTCGGATCATGCCACGGTTTGGCGTTTCTCTGGTCCGACAGAGGAGCTCCAAAGATGGTGCCAAACTTCAGCCATAACTGCCAGAGCAACGCCGAGTTTGGGTATTTCGGACACGCCAAAGTTTGGCGTTCCTCTGGTACGCCACAGGAGTACCGAAGTGTGCCATACTTGAACCATAACTACCAAAGCAACGCCTAATTTCGGTATTTCGGCCACGCCGAGTTTCGCTTTTCTCTGGTGCGCCACAGTTCTGCCAAAGTAAGTGCCAGACTTGAGCATAACTGCCGCAGAAAATCTTAATTTGGCGATTCGGGGCATGCCGAAGTTTGGCTCTTCTCTGGCTCCCCACTGAAATGCCAAATAATTGCCAAAAGGGGCAAAGAAAGCCGAGATGCTGCCCAAGTTTTGAATATGTTTGGTGGGTTACAGAAGTGCTCTTTCACGCGTCCCAGAAGAGAATTAAATTTAATAAGCGTTGGAAACACGATGGTAAGATGTCATCATCTCTGTTCCCAAGGCTCACGGCAATACTTAGAAGTATCGTGCCAGTGCCGGCCGAAAGTCGGTTCCAATATCGCCCAAATGTCCAGTTTTGCACCACCGTTTGATATCCGGCAGGTATTGCCGTACAACTGTCTTGCCCCGGCCTAGCGTTCGCGCAATATTGTGCGAATACTCTACGATGCGTCTGCTCCGTATTGGCCGAACATCGTGCAAGTATGCGTAAGTTGCATATCATTTGTTGCATATCCAATCACATATACGGAAAAACAATTTTTTTTTCTATCGTTCTCAGAAGTTGATTAAACCACTATCATTACACACACTGTATTCTCCACATATTTACAAAGGTCACACTTCTCAGTAAAACGAGAAGCAAACTATAAAAAAAATGAAAGCCGTTTACAACTCCCTGTAACACCGAATTGGAGCGCAGCTCTTGAGGAGGAGGAGGGAAGGGTACTGAGGGTCACGTGTTCTCGGGGCGGGGGGGGGTCATGTGACCCCCCAGAAAAATTTTTCCGCTAGGTTTAGCGGGGAATTTTTTCCGCTATACCTAGAGGGGAAATTTTTCCGCTAGATTTAGCGGGGAATTTTTCCGCTAGATTTAGGGGGAAATATTTCCGCTAGATTTAGCGGGGAAATTTTTCCGCTAGATTTAGCGGGGAAATTTTACCGCTAGATTTAGCGGGGAATTTTTCCCGCTAGATTTAGCGGGAAAATGTTTCCGCTACATTTAGTGGGAAATGTTTTCCGCTAGATTTAGCGGAGAAATTTTTCCGCTAGATTTAGCGGGGAAAATTTTCCGCTAGGTTTAGCAAAGGATTTTTCCCGCTAGATTTAGCGGGGAAATTTTTCCGCTACATTTAGCTGGGAATTTTTTCCGCTAAATCTAGCGGGAAAATTTTTCCGCTAGATTTAGCGGGGAAATTTTTCCGCTAGATTTAGCGGGAAATTTTTCAGCTAGATTTAGCGGGAAAAATTTTCCGCTAGTTTAGCGGGGAATTTTTCCGCTAAATCTAGCGAGGAAAATTTCCCGCTAGGTTTAGCGGGGAAATTTTTCCGCTAGATTTCGCGGGGAATTTTTTTCCGCTAAATCTAGCGGGGAAATTTTTCCGCTAGATTTAGCGGGGAAATTTTTCCGTTAGGTTTAGCGGAGAATTTTTTCCGCTAAATCTAGCGTGGAAATTTTTTCGCTAGATTTAGCGGGGAAATTTTTCCGCTAGATTTAGCGGGGAATATTTTTCGCTATATTTAGTGGGGAAGTTTTTCCGCTAGATTTAGCGGAGAAATTTTTCCGCTAGATTTAGCGGGGAAATTTACCCACAATGCACCGCGCGGTTACGCCGACGCCGCTCAAGCCGGAAACGGGCCCCTAAGAGCTGCGCTCTAAAAAGAATTAACACTGTTCTCATGCCAAGTAAAACTCATCACACAAAAAACCGCAAAGATTGAGAGGAAAGCAGGATTACTATCAGAAGCGTGCTTTCAGTGCACTTACTAGTGAAAGAGCGATATCATGTAATCCTTGATAGATGCATAATCCAACTCAGGCGCCCCACAAACACTTTCGAGAAAGAAGGTTGCGCACATTCAACTGACGCCTCGTCGTCGGCGAAGAGCTGTTTTTGTCGAAACGTGTCCAGCAAACAGATCACAAGAATTCCACGAACTCCGGTAAAAAAAATGGCGACGAAAAAACACGCTGCGTCTGCAACGCACGAAAGCAACAGAACATTGAACTCTGGGGAAAAAAGGCGCCTTTGGGAAGGCGATGGGGAAACCTTAATTCTACGAACTTTGGGGTGAAATATGATTCACAATGGGCACAAGAGCAATGTTTTCACGATCTCAATTTGAGTCGCCGTAGCTTATCGGAGCTAGAAACAGGATTTGATTGGTCGAAACCATATTCACGCTTGCTCGTACCACGCCGACGCCACTTCGTACCAGAAAACTCGGAAAATGGCGGAATGTTAAACATGCATTTCAGATAATGAGTACAAAATACTATGCAATATAATTA